ATTGACGCTCCACAGTCAAGCTGACGTCTGGTGCAGGAATCTTCTAAAATCCACTGTAGTATAGTGCAATGAACTTCTCTAGGACAAAATACAACATTAAAAAATTAAATTGCCGACATAAAAATTTTAAAGGTCCAGTGTGTAAAAATTAACGACATCTGATGGCGAGCGTTCAGACTCCTCCTCTCATCGTCTGCCTTTTTCTGAGACCTCTTTGGACTCCACCAGACTTTTATAACTTTCTTCACTGTTACAATCTGTTCTTCCTCACTGTTTTTTTTTTTGCATCCATATTTGTCTGTGGAGACACAGATTAAGCATCTGCTTTATTGTACTAAATGTTTTTTTTTAGATGCTGTAAATTTTTCTGCCCATGAAGGTCATATTTTTTTATTTTTTTATAGTGTGTTGCCTCTTCCTTCATAGGCACTGTGCCAAGTAAAAAATTAAATAGAAATATTTACAGCTAAAAAAAAGAAGGAAAAAACCCACAGAAAAGCATGTGTAGACATGCAAATTTAGAAATTAAAAGCAGGTTTCAAAAGATGAGTTTTGTTAAGGGACTTTAAAGTGGTGCTGTCTGTGGAGAGTCTAACGTGTTGGGGCAGGATTTTCTAGAGGAAGGGAGGGGACAGCAGGGGGAAATGCCCCTCAGGTTTGATGCTTGGCCTCAGTATTTAGACTGACTTTGGCATTTATTTAACTTTGTTTTTTACACCTGTACATTGAGCAAAGATATTAGCACCCACTGCCTTTTTCTCCTTCACTCATCTCAGCCTTTGTCTTACTCAGTGACTTTTCGGGGTTTTGTGTTTTGTATCATTTAGTAAAGCACAAGTGGGCCGCTAGGAGCTTAAAGTACCACATGAGTTCACAGAGTGCTATTTCAGCAGCATAATCCGAAGCGGTCATTCCTGTTCATGAGAGAACAACTTTAGCACACTGTCACTGCACTCCCGTGTGCTTGCAGTGATTTATTGGTCAGAGAACGCCCAGCAGCTCCAGGATGGGCTGGTTTTTGCCCAGGGCAACATGTATCTGTCCACCTTCAGCCTTTGTCTTTTGTTCCGTTTAGCTGACTAAAACACAGGCAAGCATCCATATGATGTAAGCAGTTACTCCACGTTGTGCCATTGTTGACCCTAACACTGACAGGGTCCTGGTGTGTAAGTGGAACGGCAGTTTTTAGCTGCTTTGACAATAATTCACTGAATGGTGTTGCTACAATTGTCACACGATTTCTACACAACAAAATGAAATCCATGGAGTCCATGTTTGCGTCACCATCTCCCATAAATGGAATAAGGTCTTGTTCCATCAATGTGTGTGTATTTTTGGGAACTTTCTGCCCTTCATTATGACATATGATATGTTTTTATGTCCTAGATTATGATGTTACCACTGTGTTAGTGTAGGTGAGTGACACAGGTCCTGATGCACAGTATGGAAGTTGCGACTAATGAAAATCACGTCCTGTACGTATGAACTACTGATATTAAAAAAGAACCATGCAGCTGAGGTCGTTCTCTCATCCGTGATTGAAGTGTTGAAAAAAAAACTTGAAAAAAAAGAGGAGCTTGCATTTTTTACGGAAGATAAACTCAAGTCACGGGTGAGATGAGGGAGAATCACAAAGTAACGAGATGGCAGAGACGAGGAGAGAAAACAAAGGACAAGCCATCATCACTTTTTCAATCACATCCAATCAAATGACTCCAAACTACTTAGTGACAGATGAAACTGTAAACTCCCAGGATGTAGCAAACAGGATAAAGACGGTAATGATCTGGTTACTAATGTTCTAACATACAAAACCCTCTAATGAATGGATGTTCTGTATTATCACAGACGCAAATTTAATGAAATACCCCTTTATTCACCAAAGGTGTTTACACATTCTGTCCTGTGTGTTACACTCTGAATATTCGTGTGTGTCTGTGTGTGTGCGTTTTCTGAGTTAATGGTGTGTAGAGCAGGGCTCGGGTGTCTCTCATTTAGCAGCAGATGCTGCCCCTATTACTGGAGATGTGTTTTTAATAAGAATAGAGCAATGTCGCTCACTGGCCGTGTGTTTCATTAGAGCAGTAAAACAATGAAGTCACTCAATTGAACCTGGAGTTTCAGGCCAATACGGAGGCTAGTAAAACTGTAAACTGTTGATTTATGTGGACCAGTGATTCCCGTCCTCCTTGACTCAGGACTCACTGTTTTATTCATGACCAGGGACTGATAGTATTCTGGCTCTTTACCCTCTTTTTGGTCTTCTTCTCTGATTCACTGTGTTGGGTCTGCGATTCCAGGTCGATCGCCTTGTTAATGTTACATGCTCATCTGTGGCAGCTGATTTTGGTCTGGGACGCACTGAGGTCATTCTGTTGAAACTGTGCTATGAGTCATGTGTAGATTTTCCAGTAGCTTTTTTTTCTTTCGCCTATGATGTGTCTTTTTTTATTATTAATAATTGTATTTTCATTCCTATTATTTTTATTTTATTAATAATCTCTTTTCTTTGTATTTTGAGCTTGAACTTATGCTTGAAAAAACTGTATACAAACATCGTGATCAGTGGTTCGGGGCTGTAACATACAGTATGTAACATTTGCAGTGTATTACTGCATTGGTGTATTTGATAGAAATGTCAAATGTATTTCTTAGTATAGCATCATTAGCCAGCATAGTGGTTAATGTTTTTTCCCAACAATAACTTTGCTTTGTCTCTCCTTCAGCTTGATATCATCCAGAAGATACTACTTTGAGCTCCTTCACAAACAGGATGACAAGGGCTCCGATCATGTGGAAGTCGGGGTAAGTGGACTCAAGAAAACCCAGAAGCATGATTAGCTGTATTTAACGCAAGTCCTTCTAGTGTCCACTTTTCTTTACCAATGCATTTATACTTTATAAAATATGTAGTATAAAGTATCTTTCATCTTCTCTACTTATTTAGCCTTTCAGTCCTGATTTTCTTCATCAGCTATTTTTATCTGCCACTCTACAGTATATTGTTACTGGGGGCTTTTTTCTGCTCAACACTTCTTTGCACAAGTCCTTCTCCAATGTTCTGAGCCTCAGGCACACATTCAGAGATGAGTAGTGCTTAAGTTTGAGATTACATTTTCACTGAAACAGAACACGCGTCACGTAACTTGTACTTAGAGTGGTGCATCACTGATGTGTGAATACAACTAATCAGGTGGGAGCCCCAGGGTTAGCAACATCACAGCAGCCTAGCAACAGCAGTGCAGCTGTGCTGTCATTTCACAGACATGTCCTTAACATAGAGTTAGGATCTGGACTTGTTTTTCCCCCACAGATATAGAGCTGCTTCAGGTCGTGTCATGCTACGTTAGTAGCCTGTATTAGCAAGTACTGTTTGTCAACGCAATTGCAGTAACCAACAGTTTACTCTTTTAACATGCTGTCGGTTGATTACTTTTCCCCAGGAATGAGGACACATTTCTTTACAGTGATGATGTAGGTTCTTGAAGAATATCGGAATCGGCAAGTCATGCTCACCAAAAAATTGGAAAGCAGAATTACCTAAGAAATTGCAATCTGTACATCTCTATTCTTCAGTTGTTCGTTTAGATTTTCATTGACGATCCGGGATGATAAAATCACTTATAAAAAAAAATAAAATCATTTATTCTGCTTATTCACTGCTTTACTCAGATTGGCTCAGATTTTAGATGCCATTTGGAAAGTAGCTCCGCACCCAACCCGACAGCTCTGTTTTGCCAGCGGAGATGCAGATGAAGTAGGTTAGAAATTAGATTGGACTGTGTAATTGTACGTATGCAGGAGAGAAGGAGGCGGGCAGGTAATTTACTACCACGGTTCAGGATCCTCATTTGGTTTATTATTCTTTAGCACATCAGGCAGTAAATACTCGTTCCAATGCTTCTCTAAATTTTCAGAGGCGTTGTGAAATGTCCTCTTGGTGTCTGATCCCACAGTTGCTGCGTTGTGGCGTGTGGCTATGTTATGAATATTCAGTCGATGAAGTGAGAGTGTTTATAGTGAGTTACAGCTCATGCCGTCGACATCCCAGCGCTTAACGAACCACATCCTTTATTTGAGACTCTGCAGAGGACGACGCTGAATCAGTTTATTATGATAATTCAATGACAGCTGTGAGAATGCTCTTTTGTCGTGTCCCAGTTGTTGTCCTACTGTGCTATTGTTCGTTGTCAGTGTAATACTTAATATTCCTGCTTCTTACGACCTGTTACCTAACAGCTGCCTTTTTGCGAATACAGCAGAGTATTTGTATTTGTGCCGGACATGCTGTGAACAACAGATTTATCAGAGCCTTTCAGTGACCGAGAGGACTAAAAAGGTGTTTGAGGGTATTTACCAAGGACAACAACTACGCGTGTTATTTTTCTGATTAAAATCAAGGGATGTTTCTCACCAGTGTTAGTGGTAACCACGGGTTATATAAAAAGGAATGTTGGAATCAACTTGACTCAGACTTGTCCCTGACAACAAAGAGAATAACGTTTGAATGAAATATTATTAAAAAATAACATTTATAGTTATAGTTGTATATATGCATATATATTATCCATCCATCCATCTATCTTCATCTGCTTATCTGTTACCGGGTCACGGGGGCAGCAGTCTCTATGCCCGCCCCCCAAATCACATTGCACCATACCAACCCCCCTGAACCTTCCTGCGGGTGGTGAGTCTACTGGAAGGTACCAACCGCCCTAACAGGGATTTGATCTTGCCCAGGAGGTGAACCCTGGGGTTCCACACCAACGATAGAGACATTGCCTCTGGGCCAAAGCGCCACATATATATTAATGTGTAGTATATTAATCTGTGTAGATACATATAGATGTATATATATATATATATGTGTGTGTGTGTGTGTGTATATATGTATATGTATATACATATAAATGTATATACACACACATTACGCATGATGTGATTGTAACAGACCCTAACCAATTAACAAAGAAGGTTACAGGTTAATTAACTTAAATCTCACAGTTTTTGCACTTGTAGTAAGATGTATTGCCCCGTGGACCGGTCTGAGTACACAGGTCAAATTCACACATGTTCTGCGAAGGAGGCGCACATAGGGATTAGATGGAAAGGAAAGCAATGCAGCTGATGAAGGACAAAGAATGTCGGAGACGTAGTTTGATTTGATTGTTGGGGTTTTTTTCTGTCTCACTTCAAACAATTCACCCGACCGTGTGACTTCATCAAGAAAACATCATCATGTACCAGAAGTTTACATGTTAGGAAAACAACCTCGGCCTGCAGACTGAGGCCGTGACAGTGGGTTTGTTCTAGGAAGGAACGGTTGAATGAAGTGTATTAATGTCGCACTGCAAATCACGATTCTGTGCTGGAATGTACAGTATATGTGGTTATGGTGTGCTGTCTAAGGAAGGACACTGAGTATGATTTAGCAGCAGAATACATTTCACACCTTGACAGCATTAGCAGATTTACTGTGACCAGCCCACAACAGTATAAGCCCAGGGCTCACATAAATCCCAGCAAACCAGGCACTCATTTATTGAAGAGCAGATAACATAGATTCACTGCTCCTCCTTCTGCGGTCGGCGCCACAGCTGCACTGTTTCTTTGGGAATCTATTGGTTTAACCGCCATTTCTGTATAAAACGTGGTGGAAGTATATTTATATCTTTTTTACAAGAGGTCAGTGTATAATTTACCCGTTGGCAGCAACGTAAAAAGAGGAAAAAACCTGAGTTTCACCCCAGACGCCCCTTTCTTTTCCAATTCATCAAAGCATTGAGAAAATGTCTGCAGAAAGACAAGGTTTAAAGAGTTTCTCTGCTGCACATGGACGGAAAGAAGTATGAAGAGGAGCTGAATGAATGAGGGGATTGTTGAGTTGTTGAATTACTGAACATTCAACAACAACTCTGACTGAGCATTTCCAGACACGTCTAACTCTACTCCTGACCTGTATGTTTTCCTACTGCTCACTACAAGAGGAGCAATGACTTGTTTTGGAATGGATTACTTGAGCTGGAAGAAGATTTAGTGGCCAGCCGTTTTATGAAGTTTCCCAAATGCCACCCAGATCTTTTTCAGTGAAAGACGGGACCTTTCCACCGGCCTAATGGAAAATGTCTCCTGCTCGATGTGTGACAGAGTGTAAGAAAGAGTTGGCCGTTAAACTTTGTGATGAAGAGGAAGGAGGGAAGAGAGAGAGAGACTGAAATAAGGAGAAGGACGAGCCTTAATTGGCGAAGGCGTGTTTATGTGAAAGCAGGTGTGTGGGATGTGAATTGTGGATTATTTTTTTAAGTCACTGACATGACTCAGCCTCTTGGGGGCGCTCACTCTCTTACAAACTGTCAGCTTTGTTCATGTACAGCTGTTTCTTTTTTTTCGCTATCGCTAAAATCTTCCGAACATGTTCACATATGTCCCATATCTAGCCCCCTGGTGGCTGTGTGGAACGTCAGATAATCCCTACATTAACCCCGACCTCACCATCAATAGCTTTTTAAGGCCATTGTTTTGTTTTAACGACACTTTCTTTGTCTTCTTATTCCCCACTGAGCCATCTCTCTGCCAGTCAATACTGTAACAGCTGTAATGATGGCTGGGTCGACAGCCAGACTGTCTGGTTTTTTTTTTTTTTTTTTTGTTTGTTTGTTTTTTTACGAGGATATGAAAAGTGCAAAACAAGCACATGCCTATAACTCGGGTTTTAAAGCTATTGCAAAATACAGGCAAACATCCAAACGGTCAAAACCTCTCACTAACAATCAGGGTTGTTCAATAAGTAGATTAACATAAGGTTCATCTGAGTAAATGTATATGTAACTTTGTGATATAGGTTGATCGTTTTGGCCTGAAAAGTGGCTTTCAAGTCAAAAGGTTTATTGAATTGAATTTACGTTGACCCAGACAGAGACCTACTGGACACAGTTCCCCCAGTTGTGATTGGCTGCTGGAGTGTTTTCTCCATAAAATGCTTAGTCTCTTTGTCTTTAGTCAACTTTTAATTTACTTATAATGTTCCTTTACTGCCTGGTAGAACCAAACAACATTTGATAAACAGATACTTTTTCATGTCAAAGTAAGATCATTTTATTTATATTATCGCTCAGATAAGTTGTTTCCCAAAGACTGGGTTGCAACCCTCAGGTGGGTCACAAGAGTCGTCTCGCTTCATGTTTCCCAGGAGTTTAGGAATACTGTCTATTGTCTAGGGTCGCGAAGGTTTGTGACTTTTAAAATATGGGTCTTCAGAAAAAAAGTTTGGGAAACACTGCCATATTATTTGTCCTTTTTTCACTTATTCTCTGCCTCTTTGTCAAATGTTCCATGGTCCCAGCAGACCATCAAACAGTCAACTTGCTCTGTTGGGGAAGAGTTCAGAGCTTGTCAGCAGACTGTGATTTTGCTGCTGTCATCACCGTAGCTCAATGCTGTAGAATGGCTGCTGTCAGTAGACATCACCGTAGCTCAATGCTGTAGAATTTCCATTAGTAGTAAAGTAATGAAAAGTACTATCCTCTTTATCAAAGCTGTCAAGACTTCTCTTCTAACACCCAACCTCATCCCATCTTTGAACGTCCTTGACAAGGAAATAAACATCTGCTCTCAAACAACGAGCCACCTTTTTACACTTGTACAGCATTAGCATTTCACATTTACAGCTCCGTTGACCTTGTGCAGTTGAATTTCCTGCTTGACAATAGTACATGTCCAATTTCTAAATTCAATGAAAACTAAAAAATGCTCACCAACTCTTTGTCAGAGGGCCAGAAATGTCTGGATAGACACCTCAGGTACTTAAAAACAATTGGACTAAAAATCACATTTTTGTCTTACAGAACGTAGTCATATATGGTGTGGATGGTGTGGATTTTCAGCCAGAGAGCTCAATCAACTCATCTTAGTGATCAGTGACTTACACTACCTGGAAAAAACACTTCATAATGTCTCTCCATCACATGTTTGGATCTGAAGTTAAACTCTCTGTCCTGAATGAGGCCTGGTGTTTTTCTCCAACCATTCATGCACAGGGAAATGGTGTTGTCTTAAGGGAAGAATATGTTTTTGTAAAACTTCAATGTGAGCCTTTCGGCAATGATAATGGGCTCAGGCTGAGAGGAATTAATGGGATTTCTCTAGCAAACGATATAGATATTCATCTTTGAATGATGTTGTCTCAAAAAGGATTTTAATGCATTAGCTGATTACAATAAGTGACGTATTTTAGAGTCAATGTGACTATGATGAGATTCCTTATACCTAATGTTTTTGGGAACTCCCATGGGAATAATAAGTTTTACCTATCAATCATCCATCTATCCATCCGTCCATTCATCCATCCATCACGCAGATCTGGACTCGCCTTAAATTCTTTGCAAACATGCAGAATTAATTTTCCCCCGTTTTGACCCAGATGTATTTTTGTCAAATAAAATTAAAAGGACAAATGGTTTAAATTAAAAGCACAATATTTTTTGTCTCTCTCAGCACAAAACTGACCCAGTTTTGACTAGATTACCAAACCACAAACACAATTTTGTGAAAATATGACGGCCAGAAACTCCGCTAACACATTACTACAAATGTCACGTCAAGGTTACAGTCATACATACACTTCAGTGCTTACAGCTAAATTCACACTGGGATGTTGTTTACCTGCGGCAAACAGATCACTCAAACATCTGCTAACACTGACTCTGATTATACAGATATATACGGTAGCTGTCTTGATGTGATGTGAAGTATTTGCGTTAAAAAAAGGCATACAAGTTTAAGGGAAAAGTAAATACAATAGGAAGTTGTTTTCTATTGACTTCCTCCAGTCCATTATTGTTACAACCAGTCCAACACTGCTATCATGTCCTTTTCTTGTCTTCACTGTGACTTTTCACTTTCAGCTCGTCCCGTCACAGTACGTTGTGATTTCACACAGTTTTCCTGACAGAACTCTGATTTCAAAGGTTGGGGATTTAAGGACCAGTTTTTGACAGGCCAGAATTCTACCACTACACTGCTCTGCCAAAATGTTCCAAAATCAGCAGCTATATCCAGTTACAGTTTAACAAAGAAACTGAACCTGTCTGCTGCATAAATAAACATGGGTGACAGCCGGCCAGCCTGCATCCAGTTGAAGCTGACATCTTTCTTTCTGTCTCTTTATAGCTCACTAACTTCATTAAAATACTATAACTTATTAAGATACTTGGAGGGTTTTTTGTTAAGGACGCTTGAGTTGTGTGAAAAGGAAAGTAAAAGAAAACAGGAAATTCAGGAAATGACTACAAGAGCTCAATAGGAAGGTGTTAACGTTCTGTGAAACTTGTTGGACCTGAAACCTAGATTGAAATGGAAAAAGTCGAATAGTTTCATTATGTTGTTTCCCCTCATATGATCCTCTAACAAAACACGTCTGTATGTGCCTCAGGCTGCAGAGCATTGAAATGTGGGGAAATAAATAAACACAACAGCAGTCAGCGTTTTCAGAAACAATAAAGATCCTTATGGTCAGGTAATGAAAAATACCTCAAGTCTGATTGATCCCACAACAAACAACCTGTACGTGTGTGTATACGCTTGTGTAGGTGCGGGCATGTGTGTGTGAATATGATATGGATGTAAGAGGAGCAGACAGCGGCTCTTTAGTGGAGCATGAAGGCTTTGACCCTAGAGTTGACCCTTTGACTACAGTCAATGCAGAAGGGCATTAACTGTCCCTGACCGGTCTATACAGACGAGGATGCTGTCAGGGTGGTATACACACGTTAGCTACGTAATGGGCAACTGTGGAACTTAAGGTGGTCTTCAGCTGGGCCCCTGCCACTGCTCATTTATTTCCACAGACCTTCTTTGGTGTTTGTGGCAGCATCACATTTATGAAAGGGTTTTTGTTCCTGGACTTTCAGCACAGCCCAAGGAATAATTGCAAGTATTACGGCATCAGGTGATAAATGACAATATGTGAAACCTCACCAGTCTGTGTGAACATATTTTTCCATTACACACGTGTGGAGATATATGCATGAGCCCCAGGCAGAGTTTATATTTGTATTCTCACCCCGAGGGCTGGAAAATGACCTGTCTGCTGCGATTATACGCTGGGTAACTAGAAGTGACGTGGTAATTGTGAAATCTATTTAGAAGAATTGTAGCTTGTCTCCCGTCCTCACACTCTCTTTATTTCTGTCGTCATGCTTCTGTTTTCAGGTCATTAGACCTTCCTGTTTTTCCCTCCCACCTACTCATCTGCATCATGTACATTAGGCTGTGATCCACCACCATGAACTGTTGTTTTCTTCTAACTTCTTCTCCAACCTTTCATCATTACCTCCTTTGCATGACTTGTCTTTAGTCCTGTTATAAAATGCCTTTTCCCCTTTTCTTCCTGTGTTTAAGAGTGTTTTCACAAAAAACAAAAAACAAACATCAATTTGATGCAGCGGTACTGCAGAGATCAATGCCCAGAGTAAATGTTTGGTTTGCCCACAGTGATGACAAGTTCTGCTTTCCACACGTTGGCCTTTCTCCTCTCACTCAGTGCCTTTTCTCTCTCTCTCCTGTTCTGCTTTCACACACAGTGGCGTCCATTCCTGCCTGGTTTGAAATACGAGGTGATAGACTCAGCCTACATTTCCCTCTACACAGGTAAGTGTTGTTTTTGCCTTGCTGACAGGCACAAAGTCAGTGGTATCCGTACGCAAAGGATGACTTTACGGCGAATGTGGCGGACAGCTAATTGCAAGGGAACCACATATCAGTGGTTTTTTTGGGTTGTTTTTTTTTCGTCTTGTGACCTCATTTTGACATCACAAATTTCTCCCAAGACTTTATTTTATAGAATTAGTTTTTGATCAAGTTTGTTATACTGTGTTGTAAATACAGAGTGGACAGATTAGTGGACAAAGTGACGTTTTATTTTCCCTGATCACATGCACAGTTAGGTGAACTTGAAATTTAACACTGAACAAACACTCTCTCAAACAATGGATTTGAACTTTTTCATTTGTAGATCAGATTAGATTGAACTTTATTGATCCCACACCGGAGAAATTGTTATATATATTCTTGAATTAATAATAATAATAATTAGCTGAAAAATATTTTTATCAGTCATTTTTTTTAAATAAATTACTAGACATGTCAGGTGACCACGTTTGAATTCCATGCGACCCCACAAGGGGCCGTGATCCCTAGTTTGAAAAACACAGCCATGTACAAAGATAGAACGATGCCCTTCCTCTGCTGAGGTGTGCTCTTCTATTATTAAACGTAGATTTGATAGTCTTGCCAGGCAATGTCTTCTTTAACCTAGAACACGAGGAGATAGAAAAGTTAACCGATTGCCTATTTGTGCAATGAGAGCTGCGATTCCTGAGTGCATGTCTAACCTCGGTAGCTCCAAAAATAGCATTGTGTCACAGGAACTCAGAAAGTGTTGTTAACAAGGTAAAATGCCAAGTGTTACAGCTACAATATTGGAGTTGTCATTTAGGGCAAAGCTGCAGAATTTTGCTGTTTAAGACCAAGTAGGACAAAAACAAAAGTCACATCTGACTTCAAACGGTCGGTGCTTTGTGCTCGTCTAATATCACAGATGATCTTTAGTTGTTTTCTGTTTTTCAGAGTTATGTCAGATAATCACAGCTGTAATATTTGGACTTCTGTCACCTGGACTTGTACTGCTTTTTGAATAATTCAGTGTAGTTATTTGTCTAATTTACTTTAACACAAATTACCAACAGCGCTTGTAACCTTTAATGGTGTAATAGTGCATTTCATGAGTAAATGTATTCCTCCAGCAACTTGTGTTGACATGCTGCTGTCATATGACAGAGATGGTGAGAGGGAATCCAGGTACATTATTGGAAACCAATGGCTTTATTTCTCCAAATTTCACTCAAATCGTCTCAAAAGTAAATGACAGCTGCTGCTATGACTTGCTGCAAATGTATGAAATATACAGTGAAACATATCTCTCAGCTTTTTGTATTAAACCAAGAGTTTGTTGTCTTGTTGTTTACAGTAGGCTTGTTTACGAACAGAAGGTGTTTCGTCCTCAACGACATCCTGAAAAACCAAAGTAATCACGGGGCAACTGCCATTCTTTAGTGTCACCAGATTGTTCTATTCTAGCAACTGTCTCTTGTGTGAAACAAACTCTGACTTCCTGCTCCACCACAGGACCAGTTCTGTTACTGTATTGATACTTTGATACCACAGAATCGATACTCCCATCACTATTTTGAAAAACTAAGACCATTTTTAACGTTTGCTGGTAGATGGTGCAACAGGGAATTAATTGTTGCTTTGCAGGGTTGAAAAGTTGCAAAGTTGAAGCCACATATTTGATTCTCACTTGCCTTATTGTTAAAACACAAAACATCACCTTCTCATAGCATGTGGGCCTCAAATGTGCATATTCCTCTCCCTGGACGGTAAAATAATGATGCTGACCATTCTGTTCATTGTAAAGCTTTTCTCCATCAGGCCTTTCTCCATGCCATTAATCACACGTAGTCTCCTCTCCCTCCCTGCTATCGATTGCTATAATTATGACTCTCCTCCTCCTCTGTTTTTGTTTTCTCTCAACTTTGTTTCTTATTTGTTCTGTTGTTGTTCGTCTCCTCTTCACTCCCCCTTTTGACCCTCTGTGTTTAGTTTGTTTCAGTTTCCTGTTTGGTAAATGGAGTGTTCCACAATAAGAATGTACACAGACTCTGTACTTGGCAACAAGGATCTTCCTACTTTTGTTTTGTCCATTATCAGGATTATCTAAACACACCACAATAATTTGTTTTGTTTTTCTTTTTGCTTCTTCCTAGACGAGTCTGCCCTGAAGATGAACAGTGTGGACCATATACCCCAGACCTTGGCAAGTCACATCCGTCTCCCAGAGGAGTCTCCGCCTCAGGGCCATGGAGAAGGCAACGGCATGCAGCACGGAGCAGATATGCTAAAGCCGGACCCTCGGGACACATTCTACAGCAGTAAATCTTCCATTTTACTTTGACACAATTTCCTGTTGTCTCATATGGTGTGACTCACACTTTATAGCCTCTCAGTGCTAGTATTCCTTCCATTCTATTTTATTATTACTGTATGATTTTTTTTTTTAGGGCAGACGTCGATTCACACCTTCACCGTTGATGTCTGTCCTTTTCACATTGTCTGTCTGTTTGTCCCTTGTCTCAGCTCCGTTGATTGACCCCTCTCGTCTGGAAAATGTCCTGCCCGCCTGTCTCTACTCCCCGACCTATGTAGTCAAAGACTTCCCCATCGCCAGATACCAGGGCCTGCAGTTTGTAAGTCTTTCCTTGAACTTGTAATGGCCTTCCTATTCAACATGTGATGATGAATTCAATTTAAGCTACAACAAAATAAAAACATGTTGTGCTTTAATTATGGTATTATCGACATTAAAGTGCCTATTATCCGTCAGGCTTTAAAAAGAATAGTGATCCTGGTAAACTACGTAAAACCCCACGGGAGATATTGCTAAACAATGGCGTCCTCTGTAGGGCAATAATGGACACTGCAGCATGGCAGAAGAAAGATCATCTAAAATTAGAATGAAAGAACTGACCTGAGTTATCTGTAGAAGTAACACCAAAATCAGATCACTGTCTAAACCCAAGTCTCTGATGATTTCTGACGTGGAATATACTCAGCAGTAAATACTTCTTGTATTCTTTTTTGCCGTTCCTGATCGGTCATTATTTTCATATGCTTTCAGGTTTATTTTTCCTTTGTTTACCCCAACGACTTCACCCGTCTTACCCACATGGAGCAGGAGAACAAGTGTTTCTACCGAGAGTCTCCTATCTACTTAGCCAAGTAAGGACATTATTTTGCTCTTATCTCCTCAGGAGTGCTGGGAACATTTGTCTCTGTCTTGTATACAGTGTGAGGAAGGAGACAATATGTTAACTATGCGTTCCATTTGGAGAATTGATGTCAGTCTGAAAATGCATTGGAACAATAAAACGTTAAGTTAAATGCATGTGGCTCTCGCTCTGTGTCTGTGTGTGTGCGTGTGTGTTTTTTCTGTGTGTATGTGTGTGCCTGCACTGTGTCTGACAGATTTGGTTTCTACAAATATATGAAGATGGATGAAGAGGAGGATGACAGACCATTCTTCTTCCCCAACCCAGATGGTAACTCAAAATGAACAAACAAACACACACACACACACACACACACACACACACTTATACACAGGTGTGCGAAGACATTCAGTCAACTTTGCGTCTGCCCACAGATTTCCTGGAGGAAGAGGAGGTGGTAGAAGCCGAAGATCAGGAAGAGATTGTTGGCACAAAGTCACCTAGAAGGTTGTCTCATTCCAGCCAAACCACCCACACCTCCAACCCTTCACATCATCACTCAAAGCCTGGGCCCACACGGGCTAGCAGGGAAGGAGAGGAAGAGGTGGAGCCTCATGGAGAAGAAGTAGATGAAGATGAAGCAGAAGGGAGAGCTGACAACAGAATAATTCACCAAAGAGACCGCAGACGCATTTTTCACAGACACCGACACGAGAACGAGGATCTGGACACGGACTGGGGACGAGACCACACAAGAGAAAACATCAAACAAGACCTGAGGAAAAGACTTGACAAACTCCAACCCAGGCTGCCTGAGCCTGCTATTGACAGAGTGCTCCACGGGCGCTCGTTGTCCTGGGTCCATGCTGATCCTGTAGAGCAGGGCCTTGGCAGGAATGGGAGGAGAACAGAGGGAGGAGGAGGAGGAGAAAAAGGAGTGGAAACTCCACCTAAACTAAACAAGTCGTCTTTTCTTTTAACCCAAAAGGCCTCCCTCTCTGCCCTCGCTAGTCGTGCCAAGCAGATCATCAATAACTCCGCCCATAACAACAGCCCTTATTATATCAATAAGAAACCCACTGTTACAAAGAAGGAGGAAAACAAGATCTACATCACTAGGCCGCGGCCTGCCAAGGAGAGGGAGAAGGAGCAGCATCGAGAAAGGAAGGAAGACAGGCTGTACCGACACCCGAGAGAGGTGTTTCCAGGTGTCTTTCTGTACCAAACGGGGAAAACCACAAGGCTGGTCAACCTCGGTGCCAGAGGACACACTTTGGGAATGGGCAGTAAGAACCCCGTAACTGTCCCAAAGCTCTGGCCTCTCACGCCTACAAAAGTGAGTAAAACGTCTCCTCATAACAGTGTACATAAGTCTGTCAGGAGGATGGTTGGAGCTAATCAGCCAGAAAAAAAGAAGAGGAAAGAGGAACATGTGGATTTAAAGACTACTGCCACCAGTGATCTGTCCAACACAGAGCACTTACTAAACTCCCTGTCCTTCCACCAAAACCATACTTCAGTGACCACGCCGAGGTTTAACTCCACAGTTAACTCACTACAGAGTCCCACGAGGGTCACCTCTTACCTCAGGCTCTCAGAAATCACAGAGTCTCAACAGCAGCCAGACCCAAACCCAAACCTGACAGAGACCGACCAGGATATGACTCACTTCATTCCTGAACCTGACGATGAGCTGCCAGACTACAGCTACGAGGAAGCCGACACGCAGCCAGGCTGGGCAGAGGAGAGCATCAACTGGCAACGGACCTTCTCAGTCAATCCTATTGACTTTGAGCAGCTGCGATCAGACTGGAATGATCTACGCTGCAACGTGTCTGGCAACCTGCAGCTGGCCGAGAGCGAGGTAGTGGACGTGCTTGCCCAGTACATGGAGAAGCTGAATGAACGCAACGGAGGGTGAGTGTAGAAGCCGACAATGATGGGGAAGTTAAATGTTATCAGCCTGCAGCAGAGCTGAATGTTTGTTTGGTGTAAACTTTTTTCCTGTTTTAATGTTTTTCCTTTTTGGCTTCATTTCACTGCAGACAGAGTAACAGCATTCTGAGGGGTCTGCTTAGTTAAACACAAACTCATTTCTGCTGTAGCATGTTTGTCTAAGTTACTAAGAGCTGCCTGTGAACCCACGTTTCCTCTGTCTGTCCTCCAGGATCTATACCCTGCTGAGAATTATAAACATTGAGAAACGACGTGACTCAGCCAGAGGGAACCGTTACCTGGTGGAACTGGAGCTGATAGAAAGAGGTCGCAGTGTGGTGCGTCTGTCGGAGTACATTTATCTTCTGCTCCACCGTGGAAGACAAGGGGACGAAAGTCTGGAGAACACCGACTCTGCGCCGGCCTCAGCTCCAGGTTTTGCACCCTCCTCTGCCACAGCCAGTCTAAACACCACACACCAGCCTCCTTCCACCAAGGCAACCTCCCGACCGGGGGCTACGCCCATGAGCACTGCCTTTGCTAAGCCTCTGCTCTGCCAGCCGGTCATGCTGCAGTGGAGAAGAGATGTCATGGTTCACTTTGTCGTGCCAGGTTTGTCTCTAATTTCATTTAAAAGCACAGAATTCTTTATAAAAAAAACACTATTGTATATAAATTAAAGCAGACTCCTGGGACATTGAGTGCAAATTAACCACCATTAAAATAAGAGGATTTCTTTGGTTCCGCCTTAACTCGCTGTCTTCTGTTGTCCTTGTCTTCAGTGAAAAACCAGGCTCGGTGGGTGCAGCAGTTTATCTCTGACATGGAGAACCTTCATCGACAGACCAAGGATGACAATTTCAGCATCATCATCGTGGACTTTGAAAGCGAAGACATGGACGTAGAGCAGGCTCTTAAAGACAGCGGCGTGCCAAGGTTCGTGTACTGTGCCGTCATCTGAGTAATATGACATTCATTTTATTTTCCTTTACCAGTTTCATGGCTGATTACTGTGTGCTGTTTTGACAGATACGAGTATCTGAGGAGGGAGGGGAACTTTGAGCGCTCAGCGGGGCTGCAGATGGGAGTGGACTCCATCGAGGTTAGAGGCAAAAAAAAAGCAAAAATCAAATAACAATATGGGAGCTGGCAGAAAAGACAGCCACCCTCTGAAGGTTAGCCTTTCACCCTGGCCACATGACGCCTCCCGGTTGATGGACAGACAGAAAGAACACTCATGCATAATAAACTGTCCGCCTGTCTCCCTGCGGTGAACGTGGGCTAATCTCGGAGCCATTTACGCCATCTCTTCTCACTCACCCACAGCGCCTAGCTGTGGATGATGGGGAATCTCTCAGACAGTTTCATATGTATGCCACGGCTGTCGCATCCGCTCCTTTTCACAGGTTATTTGTGTGAATGGGCCTTTACGCTCTCGCCGGCAGACAGGCACCCACAGGGGCGCGGAGCAGCTGGGAGTTTGGACAGACATTGATCTGTCAGTTGGGTGTCAGAGCCGTCGCTGTAAGATGACGAGGCTGTCACTCATGTCACAATGACCTGCAGGCTTTTCCAGTTTAGACAAGTGACTGCTGCTGCAGACCTCTTGTCTCCCATCCTGAAATTTAATATTGTTTCCATAAAACGAAAAGCAAAGTTGGCTCAAGCTCGTGCAATTTAAATGATTCACACTTCACACACTTCTTTGTGACATATGCCTCTTTTTTTCTACTGTCTTTTCAGGATAGTCACAGCATCGTGTTCCTCTGTGATCTGCACATCCACTTCCCTCTCAACATCCTGGAAAGCATCAGAAAGCACTGCGTCGAGGGACGCCTGGCATTCGCTCCTATCGTCATGAGACTCAGCTGCGGCAGCTCACCGCAGGAGCCTAATGGTAACACACCAAAATAAACGTGCATCATCAGCAGGGAGACTCACAACGACACATTTATTACAGGCTTGAATGCAGTGGATTTGAATGTCGTGATGTGCAATGGAATATTTCCATCATCCCTAGGTTATTGGGAAGTGAATGGCTTCGGTCTTTTTGGAATCTACAAGTCCGACTTTGATAAGATTGGAGGGATGAACACAGAGGAATACAAAGATCGCTGGGGTGGAGAGGACTGGGAGCTGCTGGACAGGTAACCACGGGGACGTTGACCCAACTCTGAGCAGACATTGTCCTGGAGAACATAGACTTTGACAGGACGTATTGTTTACAATGACGTCAATGATGATATGTTGATATATAGAACAAAAAAAAAACAACACCCTGTCCAATTGCTTTGCTGTGTATAGAATTTAGTTGTCAAATAGGAAACAGTCACCAGAGGTGGAAATAACTGAACAATGACCATTTTAAACCTGAATGAATTATACCAAGAACAACTATACTGTAGTGCTACAATGAAACTCTTTGGCCATCGAGATGTTGTAACTAGTTGGGCTGTTGATCAGTTAACAGTTTTTAATCAGATTGATCACAGGGTGACTGTGGAATAATCATGATTAATCATGAGTCTAATTCATCATGATTAATCGTCGCTGTAACCGTATGGTTTTTGTCTCCGTCTTTCAGGGTGCTGCAGAATGGCTTGGAAGTGGAGAGACTGCGTTTGAGGAACTTCTTTCATTACTACCACTCAAAACGAGGGATGTGGAATGCCCAAAATAAAAAAACTCCTAAGGGTTAATGCTCCCTGCTGGGGGAAGTATCTGAGAACCTATCTGCAGATCCACTGTGTGAGAGGGAGGGGCCAACAGCAGCTCCTCACTTCCTGATCTCTGCCTTTACAAACCAGGCTCCTTTCACTGACACCTGGGTTTCACTGTCGGCTCCTCTTTTACAGCTGTCTGTATGAACAGGCCAAACTCAAACTTTTTGAAGTGATGGCTTCATGCAGACACATCTGAGTCATCACTGTGTCTCACTGACTGTTTTACTGTACAGAGAGAAGGGAGTTATTTTTAATCTTCTCCTCTCTGCACTCTTTTTGCTCCAAAGTTTTCAGACGGAGCTCTCAGACTAACTGGAAAGCAGCTGTCTGTCTGTGGGTGTACAAGGTTGTGTGTGTGTGGGGGGAGTGTTTGTTTGTGTGTGAGTGTGTGTGTGTGCTGTGGGGGGGGTGACGCTTTTGTGTGTTTTGTGTGCAGGAAGCACCTTTTTCTAACACGGGGATGTGAAGACAACCTAAGATCTTTTTCTAACCAGCTTTTATGAGGATCGATTCAAATACAGTGGTGGGTGAGGTTTAATTAGAGGAACTCTGGCTGTGGCAGCATTTCTTAACACATAAACTATAGGGGTGCAATCATACACACAATTCACGGTTCGGTCCGGTTCAATACTTAAGTGTCATGGTTTGATATATTTTGGATACAAAGAAGTAAACTTTCCATGCCTTTTTTGTAAAGTTTTGAATTTAAATTAAATGTATCTGTTGCAGCTATACCTGCCTCCTGTTCTGCTGTGCGTACGTAAAGTTAGAATATTAATAATAAAATAAATTAATCTGATAAATTATCCATTTTCTGTGGTGCATTTTACGCAGCAGAGTTTATATTTAAAATAAATAGTTCACTAAATAAACAAAAACTATCTTATTCAGTAATATAAATAGAGATGTCAAAACACCACCTTAGAGATTCTTTAAGGTATCATGGCAAGCCACCTTAAAAAACACAGCTTAGTGGATCTGCGCTCGACAATGCACTCTAAGGAGGAGTAGTCGAGTGCAGATCTACTCAGCTTTCAGCCCAAGGTGCAGCGTTCAAAGTTGATCAAATAAATATATAATTGCATATTGTTCAATTCTTAGTGCATACCGAACCGAGACCACTGTACTGAACCGAGTGGTTCAATACAGATACATGTATTGTTGCACCCCTAATAAACTACTACCTGTTGAATATCATTACTGCACTGTTTTCCAACCATTTTTGAGCCACAGCACATATTTTACATTTGAAAAATCCCAGAGCACAACGCCAAAAAAAATGTCAGAAAACGTATGTAATGAAATATAAAGAACTTCTAGTTTTGATCAACTCACAATTTACTTATTCAGTATAAATCCAAGGTCTGTTTAGTTGTGCAAAACACTGCTATACTCACAGGAATTGAAGAACGACCCACTTGAAGTTTTTATAGCTGCCACCTAATGGACTAGTTTAATTCTACACAGTCCAGTACTGGTGAGAGGCCAGGGAATTCCCATTGGAATAACCAATTTCTTTTAATCAGAGACTCAGAGTTGATCACCTTTAGCTCTCTACGTGGCCCACCAGGACCAACCCAAACATCTGCTCCTCAGTTTTCTTCTTTTTGTCTCACTCTGACTTCATAATCCAGGGTTAAAACAAACTGAATTTTCTTCTTTCTTCTGCTGTTTTGTAAAACAGAAGTGCACCCAAAAGAAGCTGTTGCTAATAATTTGGTGGTCAACACAAATTTGTTCTGCTGCTTTTGTGGGGTTTTGTTTAATTTATTTTAAAATGGGTTTTAATTTGCTGTATCTGTTCTAACGTGTTTTGTACGTCATTTACACTTAACACAATAGAGAAGGAGAGAGATTAAACTTCTACTGCTGACTGGAACACTTAACTGTGACAGAAGGTTCGCAGTGGAATGTTCTTGTGACTCGGTTTTCATCCCATGCCTTTGTTCACCGTCAGATTCAAATGTGGTTTTGAGGTAAAAACACGGAGGAAAGGGTTAAACTTGTATTGGACACTATGTGGTTGTTTCACAACTGTGTGCCTTTATCAGGGGTTGGGCTGCAGGCAGTTTTTTTCTCTAATAACTAATGACAGTAGGATGAAAATAAATTATTTATCAACAGTTTGTATTGTCACTGTACTTCAGATACACTGTAACGGGGGATGTGTGGTTATCTTCAATGGGTTCCAGACGTGTCTGTCTTTGTCATGCTGTTAAAACGCAGAGGGTGTGGTTGTTGTGAGCCATTTGTCCTCAGTGGTGAAGTAGGGTTGGTTTAATGACTACTAAAAGAACAGAAGGTGTGACGGAGCCTCAGTGGCAGCTGCTGTTTAGTGAGAAATCCTCTTGTTTCTGGTTCTTTCATCGTGGCTGTGGGGGCTCACGGTTGGACAGATGTAGGTGGAGACCAGCCAGTAATCTTGGATTTACTGCACAGTTTTTAATAACGCCCTCTAACACTCGCTTATTGCCTTTGCGGGACTTGGAGTTGGAGTGAATAATAATAATATAAATAAATATATACATATATATATGTATCTATATATATGAAACACAAAAATGAAAAATGGAATAGTGCATTCCAACGTAATTTCTGGGAAATTGTTTTGTAGACAAATGGTTTTATGAATGTATTGTAATTTTATTTTCATCTGTTGTTTTTTTTTGCAAATAAAGTTTTCTGCTTACAGCCAAGTGGTTTTACACCAGTCACTGCATGAATACATTCAAGATGCTATACCAGGGTTTTGCAGCTTGGTCAAGCCTCAACAATGATTTTCTAAATCTAAATATTTTCTTAAACTACAAACAGTTACTTAATCTTAATAGAAGCTGCTTTATAGTTCTTTTTTTGTCTTTGAACATTTCCCCCTGATATAACCACAAGGTGGTGCTGTACCCTTATAGTGGTGAAATGCAAAAGCAGAGCATGGGTTGGTTTGTACGACGGAGAAGAATAAATGCAGATCAGGCTTAGGGATCGACTGGTTCATGTTTACACGAAAACGTAAATTTGATTAATGAGTATCCTAAACACTCCGGTGGTTCAAGGGTCATTCACACGGATGCAGTTTAAATGACTAACATGCAAACAAACAACCACAAACGAATACAAATGCAGCACAGCTTTAACATGTTCTTAATGGATTTGTGATCATTCAAAACCCCTTACACAAAAACGTTGGTAACCTTGTCCAGATTTCCTTATCCTCTGAGGTCACTGACTGTTCCAAAGTGTTTTAGAAGTGACACACCTTCAGTCAGCCGTTATGAAAATAATAATAAAAAGAATTGTCTCCTTCTTTGTTTGTATTTCTGTCTTTTCCTCCTATAGCCAATCGACAACACATGGTTATGGGTAAAAACCATGTTCTTGCCAGAGGTAATACCATGAAACCCTGCTGCTGCTCATCACTATCCTTTTTTCTAATAAAATAATATCATGTTTTTGTTTTTTGGGGTTTTTTTTTTCATTTATGGCAGAGAAAAAAGCAGAAAATATCTCGAGAGTGAAACTTTAAACAGAACTGACTTGTTTGCAAAAAGCATTTAATTATTTCCAGATTATTGTATCATAAAATGTTGATCCCCCACATTGTCCTTCTTGACTGGGAGGTGTGTATGTGTGTGTGTGTGGGGGGGAGGGGACTAGCCCATGAGGAAATCTTTGTCTACACCGCAGCTACATGAGGTTTAGATGAGGCAACGCTGTGTTCTCCCCTACAGCCTGGGAGTGTGACATCATCGACCAAAACCAAGCAGTACAAGGTAGTGTTAGTTACTGTACTGAAAACCCCACTCACTTCCCCAGACTGTGTGATTCACATGCTGTGATGTGTGACATACACACATGTTGTAGGGTCATGCGTTCCACCTTTGGGTCATCATACATGGTTTGGAATTTCCTGCGACTGACAGCTTTCAGTTCACAGGGAAAAACGCAGGAACGTCAACCTATCACTCATCAGTGCAGGATTGATGTCCTGTCATCATCCTATTATGTTGTACACACACTCCTTTGTCTATGTACATATATAGAATAATAAGGTAGGCACACACCTCTTCAACAAGTCTGGTTTATGTTTGCATGCTGATGCATGTGTTTCACCACCTTAACAAACCTGTCTGCATGCTGATGTGAGAAGTTGACCGCACTTTATTTTTTTATTTGCCAGTTTCCTACAACATAATGCCACAGAATTAGAGAAAAAAGACATTTTATCTACTTTTTTCCACACTACTATACCACTCCACTTCAGTCTTCAGAACGATCCCATCTAAGCTCTAAAAGGCACATTCAGTGAAAACTCAAAATCCTTGCTAAATCTGAGCAAACATTGTTCTGCCTTTCACTCCACTGTCAAAATCTATACAGATTCAAGTTCTCATACAGGCTGGAGGTGAGAGATTAACTAATGTGCCAACACAAAGCTAAGAGTAGAGTAGAGTAGGGCTTTATTCATCCCCCTTGGGGGAAACATACTAAAGCGCCCCTGAGTCAACGGAGGAGACGGCATGATACGAACGTAACTACTCAGAAGAACTCCTAAATATCATTTGAATATAGTCTTTGTTACTATGTTGAATCTCAAACAAGGAAAGCGTACAATAAAGTAAAGTATTACGGCAGGCAAGAATCAAAAAGGAGATAGAGCACAAGTGAGAACGTGGAGAAGGAAAAATGCTCATTCGTAATGATCTACTCAGTGTAGTTTGTTTTCTTTATAATCATTATAATAATATGACAAGAATAGTCCGACTCAGACCACTGAGGTTACTGTTATTCTGAGGTCCGTTATCAAAATGAAAGGAGGGATTCACACTGTTCTGATCTTATCAAATCAATGCAAATGACATCAGTGAAATTGGCCTCGTCTTTATTTAAGGTAGTTGTCTGGGGCATTGAAAGATAAGAGCAAATTAGAAAAGTTTAGTTTTTTCTGTAACTGTAATAAATAATCAGTGTGCAACAAAGTAATCCACATTGATTAACAACAAGATACATTCAGTACATCAAATGTTTAATTTTTTATTATCATGTTTGCGGAAGTACGACAATGTATTTACTACAAAGATAGAAATGTATTGTTTGATTAAAATACAATTAAATAATGTTTGTTTTTCAAATGAGCTGGGACAGACACTGTCCATACAATTAAGTGACTGTTAGTTGGGTTTTTTTTTTAACCCAACTAACGGTCGGGCCCCAGGCCCGTGCTCGCCTCAATTCACCACTGATTATGTCTCCACCTTCCTGTGAGTCTGTACGCTGGGAAGAAAAACAGGATAATTGGTTGGATGCACTTTTGGGACTAAACTAAATCACTTTTTTCTCTTTTTAACGTTGGAAAGTTTTCGCTCAGGTTCTGGTTGGTTGTGAAAAACGCCTCTCCTTTCTCATTGGTCCTTTAGTCCTGACAGTCAGCAGTGGTCCCTCCCCCACACATCTGAAGCTGAAAGCTCTCTGATGAGAGCCGTTCCTCCAGAGTCCTCAGCACGCACCGGAGTTGGAGGAACAATTAAGTAAATGCGGACTTTTTTTGGACTTCATTCGATTTAAAGATTTTTGAAAACGCAAAAATTTGGAGTCGCTGAACTAACTATTTACCAAATAACGGACCTGGTGACGTTTGTAAAGAGAGAGGGAATAGAGAGCGCTGCAGGACTCAGGAGAAAAGTTTAAATCCCTGTCCTGTCAGGGGGAAAGGTGAGACGGATGGAGCTTAATTTTCCTGCCGCCTCTGTTTCTAAACAACAAATGGTTTAAAGTTCTTGGTGCAGTTGTTACTTCAGAAACTCTTTGAAGCAGCATGTCAGACAAGTGCTGTGCGGCGTAACCAGTTGGTCCAGCTCTTCGGAAGTTTCTGTTTGATTGACTTCCAGGTAAACACCTCGGTCTTTGCGACTC